AAGACTCTGCAGCCCGACCCCGCTCGAAAGATTCGCAAAAGAAACGCCGCAGGAATCGTACACTCCCCGGTGCTGCCGGGGAATGTCCGTTTCTCCCGGGGAATGTCGGATTTTCCCGGGCTAAGTACCGATCGCCCCCCCCCCTCCCCCCTCTCGGGGGGTGCCAGAGGTGCCCCTGGCCCAAGGTGCCCCCAGCTCTGCACTCGATGCTAGAGCCCCTGGGGCCCCCTCTGCCCTGCGAGGGGTTCTCTGGACGCCTCCGTGGCCCTCCTTGGGAATCCTAGGGGCACCTCGGGCCAGGGGCACTTCTGGCATCAGGTCTGGCATGTCCCCCTACAGGGGGATCTTCTGCGAACAAATAAAAGGACATGCAAAACAAAGCAAGTTGAAAAAACGTCACCAGACTATTTCTAGACTATATTTCGATATTTTTTGCCTATATTTCGATATTCTTATTTCGACTATTTTTTTTTAGACTATTTTTAAACGTCACCGATACTCCTCCTGTAGAGGGACAGCCCCGACGTAATTCCAGCAGCACCCGGCCCTCGCCCTGCCCCCGACCGAGGCCCGCTCGGAGCCCGTCGCCGGGACCCTCCAGAAATGATGCCGTCCTGACCGCCTCTTCCTGCCGTGCCGCGGCGGCGAGGACCTGCGCACCGCCGGCGACAGACAAGACAAGCGCGCTCCGCTGCTCGCAGAAGGAAGTACAGTCGGGGCGTCGACCTAAGGAACCCTGCATGAGGAGCAGGGCCTCTGTCCCAGAAATCGAGGAAACCTCATGAAACCCCGAGGCAAACTGCAGAACAATCAAGGAACACCGAGCCCCTCCCCAACGAAAAGGGTTCCTTCTTCGGCGACCCGACTGTACTCGCAGATTGCCTGGCTCCGCCATGGGCGATTTACGCTACATTGCCTGAGCATCTTCTTAGGGTAGTGGGCTCAGGGTGAAATCCATACGGGCTTTTGCACCTCGAAAGACAAACCGCCTTGTGATTCACCGTTGGCAGACTCGAGCCTCGAAAATCCATCGAAACGGCATTGCAAATTTCATCCTTTGCCCTCCACCCAAAGAACATGCTCCGATCACATCGATGCAGACATGCGTGCGCGTAGGCACTCTGCGAGGAGCGGAGCGCGCTTGGCGAGACGACGCCGTCGACGACGGCGTCGTCTGCTGCGCGCCGCCGTCGCCTTGTTGGGCGTAACCTCGGCATCGGCGCCGCCGCCGAGGAAGGACGCGCCCGCGAGGCCGCTGGCCGCGGGCAGCGCGGCGGCCGCGAGCGCCAGGCGGAGGGCGCCGGGGGCCATCTCTGCCGCGGGAAGGGCTCGAACGAAGGGCTGCCTTGGCCGCCCCGCCGACTGCACGCAAGAGTGGCCCTGGGTAAGGGTGACCTTTGGCGCGCGGCCTTCTGGGGGTCGCGGGGGGATCGAACTCAAGCGCGCAAGGCGCCACTGCACCTCATCTCGTTCGGAGATCGGGGGGCCCCAGTGGGCCCGCCCCAGAGGTCACTCCGGCGAGGGGTCACTCTTAGGTGTAGTCGAGCCCCGATGCGCGAAGCGCAACCCGCAGCGTGTTGACGCGGAGCTCAACACGTAATTAGGCCGAAAACGCAGGTCTGGCGCGAGACCTCCGCCGAAAAACTGAGCCAACAAGAGCCGAGCCAACACGCAGCGTGTGAACACGGATGTTGTGAACATGGCACGTGTTGCGTCCAAACACGGGCGTATCAGGGCAGCTAAGGAGTACGGCAAGTTCGCGTCATGACGGCCCCGGCGTTGGCTTCTGACATCGCGTGGATCGTTCCAGCGTGAACGATCGGCGGCCTATCGATGGCCAGATCGTTTCACCTTGAAGGATTCTTGGTCAGTGACGGCGTTCACCCATCGTACTTAAGGACCACATCCCATACATGGTCTCGAGCACCCGGAAAAGTGTCGAAAGAGTGTCGAAACAGCATCGGACGAGTGTCTCCCAGGGCCCGACACGTGAACACCCTCGAGTTTAGGCAATTGTTTGGTGCTCGAGGTTCTTCCTGGCGATCAAAGCTAAAAGCAGGCCGGAACGTCATGACGCCCGCGGCGGGGTCGCCACCGCGCCGGCACGACACGAATCTGCCGCACGGCGGAAGCACGTCGCGATGACGCGGCGGCGGCCCCCTCGGCGCGGGCGCTCCAGGCCGAGCGCCGCCTGCTGCCGGGAGCTGGCCGACATCGGGCGATCTCTGCGCTCTCGGGCAGCAGCGACCGCTGCCAGAAGCCAAGGCGCCGACGTCATCGCAACGCGAACCTGCGCTATACACCGGGTCGCCTGGACGACCGAGAGACCCGACGCCACAGCTTCCCACGCTGTAGAATATGCCGGAGCATCTGCCCCGAGTTTCTGAATGCGCGTCGGGGGTGCGCCACCCCCGCCGACAGCCCCACATCGACCCCCGTCGCGGGCAGCCACCGCGCGCCGAAGGCGCTCCGACCCCCGTCGCGGCGCGACGACGAGGCGAGGTTGACCCCCGTCGGGGGGGTACCCCCCCACGCTGATTAAGAAACCCAGAGTACACGTCGAACTTCTGGACTCCTTGGCCGACCAAGCGACGCGGTGCTGTCATCGAGCCCCTCCGACGCCTGGGTGCTGACAGAAGCGCCCTTGCCCCCAAAAGTGCCCCTGCCGCCCCAGGACCCCTGGCAGCCGGGAAAGATCGCGCTGGAAGCTATTCTTAGGTCGGGCGTGTCCCTCTACAGGCGGAGTATGCACGAAAATTAGAAATACCCCGCAAATATTCAAAAATATACAAACATAGTCTAAACATCGTCCCCCGACTATTCATTATTTTGTGTATTCTTCCTGTAGGGTGACACGCCCGACTTAAAGCTATCCCCAGACCCCCGACGTCATGATTTGTCCCATGATTTTGTGAATATGTTTACATATTCGTCCAAACTCTCCCTGTAGGAGGCCAGGCCAGACCAAAAACTGGGCGGCCGCAAAGGTCTGCAGGCCCGGACTCGAGAGGCCCAGCTCCGGGCCCCGCGCTGCAGCTGCGTGCATTGGAAAGGCCTCCATTCCCCGGGCCTCCCCGGCAACGTCTCTGCAGGGCCACCTCTCGGGGGCCGAGGCCGCCCCCGTCCACGCCCAGCCTGCGCACGATATAAGTAGAAAGGTACCGGGGCGGGGCGCGTCGCGCGCGCGGGAGCGCAGCGTGAACCAGGAGCCTCGGGCCGCCGCCGCGTCGGCGCAAGAGGGTCCCCCGGACTGCTGCCTGCGTCCGCTGCCCGCCCTGCCTGCGTCTGGCATGCCCGCCCTGCCTGCTTCCGCTGCCTGCTGCCTGCCGCGGAGGCCTCCCCCTCCCCGTCCTCGCCGCACCCTCGCCCTCCCCTCCTCCTCGCCCGTCCTCGCTTCCCCCCCTCCCCCTTCCCTTGCTCCTCGCCCCCCCCCCCCCTTCCCCTCCTCCTCCCTCGGACCTCTGCTCGCCCCCCCCCCCCCCCCTTCAACCTCCTCCTTGACCCCACCCCCCCTCCTCCCCTCCTCCTCGCCCCTCCTCGCCCCCCCCCTCCCTTCTCCCCCGACCCCATCCTCCTGTGCTCGCTCTCCTCCGCACCCGCCCCCGCCTCCCCTCCGAACAGCTGCTGGCACGCAGCCCGCCAGCTGCTCCTCGAGCCTGGCGACCTGCCCGCGCGCAGACGAGCAGAAGCGCCGCGGGGGTGAGGGGGGGGGTGGGCGCCGCGGCGCCTCGCGCGCTCGGCCGGCGGCTCGCGGAGGGCCCCCTCTGCATCTTCTGCTCCTCCCGCCCAGGGACGAGGCAGAGAGAAGGAGAGGGGCGATGGTTGGAGTGAGGGGGAGGGACGACGGGGGAGGGGAGGGAGGGGAGGGAGGGAGGGGGAGGAAGGCAGGGAGGGAATGAGGGAGGGAGGAGGAGGGAGGGATGAGGAGGAGGAGGAGGAGGAGGAGTGAGGAGGAGGCGGAGGAGAGGAGAAGGATCAGGCGGAGGAGGAGGAGGAGGAGGAGGAGGAGGAGAACGAGCAGAGGGAAAACAAAGAGGAGGTGGTATGGGGGAGAGAAAGGAGGAGGGGAAGAGGAGGAGGATGAGGAGGAGGAGGAGGAGGAGGAGGGAGAGGAGTAGGAGAAGAAGGAGAAGGAGAAGGAGGAGGAGGAGGAGACTAGAATGCAGAGCGAAGGCTAAAGACGATTGTTTTCATGTTCAGCGGATGTGGCGCAAGTTGTCTGAAGCGGATGTAAAGTGGGCACGGGAAGGTACCGTGAGCCAAAGAAGGCAACAAGAGGTCCCTATTGAGCCTCGCGGAGCTCTCCGGAGGCCTCCAGATGCCCTTGGAGGCCCAACGCATGTCAACACAACCCCGAACTCTCGACGCACGACCCTCCTCCCCCGCCTCCCGTGTCCGAGCCTCGACGCGAGAAGCCCTGCCGGCCGGCCGCGCTACGGTCGGGAGCCTCTGCTTCGCGTGTCGCCGCGGCGGCCCCGACGACACGCTATCCCTTGAGAGCGGAAGCGCGTCGCTCCGCTCCGCGGTCCCGAGCCTTGCGGTGAGAGTGTCCCTAACAAAACGCCCGGTCCGCCCTGCCGACACGTGTAGGGGTGCGACAGGGCTGAGTAATGTATACGGAAACAAAGATCAAGGAGACAGGAGACCGGAGGAGGAGGATGAGGATGAGGATGATGATGATGAGGAGGAGGAGGAGGAGGAAGTGACGAGGAGGGGGAGAATAAGGAGGAGGAAATAGAGGAGGTGGAAGAGGAGGAGAGGGAAGAGGAGGAGAGGGAGGAGGAGGAGGGAGGAAGGGGAGGATGAGGATAGGGGAGAAGGAGGAGAGGATTGAGTAAGGAGATGAGTGAGGAGGAGAAGGAGAGGAGGAGTCCGGAGGAGGAGGAGGAGAGGGGAGGGAGGAGGGAGGGAGGGAGGGGAGGGAGAACGAGTGTGCGGTGGGGGAGGGGGACAGGAGCCAGACTCGGCCCGGATTTGGAGACGGTCTGGCATGGAACCGGATGAGTCCTCCACCTCCCCCCTCTCCTCCTCCTCCTCCTCCCCTCCGCTTCTGCTCCTCCTCCCGCCTCCTCCTCCTCCTCCTCCTCCTCGTCCTCGTCCTCGTCCTCCTCTCCTCCTCCTCCTCCTCCTGCCTCCTCCCCCTCCTCCACTGCTTTCCTCCTTCCCAGCCTCCCACCTCCTTTCTCACCCTCCTTTCTCCTCCTCCTCCTCCTCCTCCTCTTCCTGCTGCTGCCCGCCCCAGAGGGGAGGGGAGCGCGCCGCCTGCTCCGCGAACCCGCTGGCCTTCTGCAGCGAGTCCGCCAGGCTGGCATCGACCTGCCCGCGGGCTCCGCGGCGCGGGCAGGCCCTCGCTCCCTGCTCCCCGCTCTCCTCCCCGCGCTCCCCTCCTCCTCCTCCTCCTCCTCCTCCTCCTCCTTTTCCTGCTTTCCCTCCTCCTCCTCCTCCTCCTTCTCCTCCTTCTCCTCCTCCTCCTCCTCCTCCTCATCCTCCTCCTCCTCCTCCTCCTCCCCGCTCTCCTCCCTCGGCGGCGAGCGAGCGGGGGAAAGTGAGAAGGAGAAGGCCTTCTCCGAAGGCGGCGGGGCTTCTCCGAAGCCCTCGCGCCTTCTGAAGGGCTTTCCGCGTCTTCGGGGAAGGCTCAGAGACCTTCTCGGAAGGCCGGGGGACTTCCGGGCCTCCTGGAAGGCGCCAAAAGGGTGGCACGCCCCAGGGCCTCAGGCCAAGAGCGTTCCAAGATGGCCCACGCTGGTCCCAGGACGGCCAAAGAAGCGCCCAAGACGCTTCAGGAAGTCCCAAGAGGGCCCCGAAGACGCAACATCATTGATTTCGCCAAGGATTGCTGACGATTCTGGCGGTACCGCAGTCTCGAGCTGCCGACCGCCCTGGACGGCCCAGGAGGCCACAAGATCGCTCCAAGACGGCACAAAAAGCATCCAAGAAGGGAACCCAATGGCCTAAGATGGTCTTAAGACGGACCAAGAGGCCTCCAAGACGGCCCCAGGATGGCCCCCAGAGGGGGCTCAGAAGAGGAATCCAAACGTGTATGTCGAGCTCTCGGCACCAAGAGGCGCCCAGGAAGCCCCCAGAGGCCTCCAATAGTCCCCCCAAAAGGCCTCAAGAGGCCCCTCAGAGGGCCCCAAAAGAGGTCCCCAAGATTTTCGTTTTTGTTTTTTTGTTTCTCTCTCTCTCTCTCTCTCTCTCTCTTAATTATCTCTCTGTATATATGTATATATGTATATATATATATAATTGTCTCTCTCTCTCTCTCTCGCTCTTCCTCTCTCTCTCTCTCTCGCCCTCCCTCTCTCTCTATATGGATGGATTGTTGTTGTTTTGGTTTATATCTCTCTCTCTCTTTCTCTACCTCTTTGTTTGTTCTCTCTCTCTCTCCTCCACATCCTTCTCCTCCTCCTGCTTCTCCTCCTCCTCCTCCTCCTCCTCCTCCTCTCCCTCCACTCCCCTTCAGCCCTCTTCCTCCTCCTCCTCCTCCTCCTCCAAATCGTTTTCTTTTCTCCTCCCGTACACATCCTCTTTCCACCTCCGTCTTACTCCTTCGTCTCCTCCGCCTTCTTCTCCATCCTCTTCGTCCTTCTCCCATCTCTCCCCCGTTCTCCATCTTCGTCTCTTCGTCCTCCTCCTATATCCTTCTCCTCCTCCTCCTCCTCCTGCTCCTCCTCCTCCTGTCTACCCCTCCTTCCTCCTCCTCCCGTCGCCTCCTCCTCATCCTCCTGGTACTCATCCTCCTCCTCCGTCCTCCTCCGTCCTCCTCCGACCTGCTCACTTATCCTGCTCGTCGTCGTCCTCCTCCTCCTTCTCCTCCTCATTCTCCACCTCCTCCTCCTCCTCCTCGTCCTCTCTCCTCATCCTCGTACTCCTCGATGTCCTTTCCTACTGCTCCTCGTCATCATCCTCCTGTCCCGTCCTGCCTATGTTGTTGTTGAGGGGGGGGGAAGGTTTGACCATATAGTGCGTGTGCGCTGTCAGTTTGGTGTTCCAAGTTCGGTCCTCATCCCTGTTCCCTCTTCCTCCTCATCCTCCTCTTTTTCCACCGTTCCTCATCATCATCCTCCCCAGTGTTCCTCCTCCTCCTCCTCCTCCTCCTCCTCCTCCTCCTCCTCCTCCTCCTCCCCCGTGGTCCATCCTTCTCCCCCGTGATACCTCCTCCTCCCCATGCTCCTTCCCCAGACCTCTCATGCGGCGCGCTCTGGGCGGAGCTTCGAAGATAACCCGTGGCGACGAGGGCCCTCAAGGGCAATCAGCGGTATTGGTATCACTTCCTCCACCTCGGAGAGGCAGGGGGAGGGAGGGAGCGAGAAAGAGAGAGCAAGAGAGAGAGAGAGAGAGACAGAGAAAGAGAGAGAGAGAGAGAGAAAGATGTATATATTCATACACTACCTATACGAGCACCCTTCGGTGGACAAGGAGGTTCGGGGGTGGGGGGAATAACCAACTGCTGGCAAATGCGATGGGTGTGATGATGACGATGCTGGTGACGCGCCCTCG